CAGTCTAGAAGTCCTCTTTCCTCAGTCACACGCCGTAAATTGCATTCCGTCCCACTGGGAGAGTTACAGAAACGCCTTGTGTCATCATCATCATCCACTTCATCAGCATCATCAATACAGCCATCACAACCTTCATTCCAACTATCACCGTCGTTATCCCAACCTGTACAATCCATATCAACCAGCCGTTCAATGTGCAATTATGTGCCCACTTTGATATTCCAGTTCCTGATCAAATTGGTCCTAATTCATCTGAGTGTGGAATTCCTAACTGGGCCTCACGTGCATCACACAGCCAGTGCCGCGCTCATAAATCCTTCTCCTCCACGACTGACTGGTCCCGCTGGTTTTTATTTTCAACTACCTCCACATCGACGTCGTTCCACCTCTGTGCCATCCGAGGTGACCACGGACACTCGATCACCGGCCACAGAACGGGCAGATTGGTTGACCAAGTGGGAACAGGAATCAACAAGCACAGACAACAACAACAACAACCAACAACAACAACAACAATTAGGTCGACGAGTGAAAGACTTATTTGAACTAGGAGCGCCCGATCCATCCGACCCAACCAGATCGGTTCTCACTCGTTGTGGTGGAATGCTACCCGAAACTGACTGTCAAAAGAAGGATAGTCATGGGGCAATCAGTACGGAGCAAACGAGAAAACAGATGATTGAAAAATATAAGCACATTATTTTGAAACAAATGAATTTAGATCACGTGCCCAGTCATCCACCAATTACGGAGAACGCCACCAGTTGGAAATCTTTGCCTGTAATTTTACGAAATCGTTTGAAAGCAGAAGTGGACACTTCAAATCAGCTGATGGATGATCCGGTCGAAGAAGATGAGGAAAAGGAATCTTTTATTTTGCTAAAGCAATGTAAGTTTGAATTTATCATTTTGACCACAAATGCGGAATGTAAGTAACAACAGTATCGAAGAAAGTTTCACTGAAGGGACTAAGACTGTGAAATCAGATACGAGGTTTTTTGTTGTTGTGTTTGTTCACACTTCATAGACATATCTCCATGCCTCCATTTGTCTTTCTGTTTGCATGCTGCTCAAAACAAAGCCATGAAAGTCCTGGGCCTAACGATGAAGTAGTTTCTCACACAAATTTCACACCACTGAATGGGATAAATGTAGCATGCAGCAGTGTATCTGTTTCATTGACCTAGTGTGAAATTGATGCATAAATACAGATATGCACCACGTAACAGCAATCAGAAATCTGTGTTCATCAAAATCGAGTGATACTTTGTGAACGACAGAAACATAAATGCTCAATGACTTATTCACTCGTAGTTTGTTTGCTCTCTTCAGAGAGAAAAAGTAAAAGGTTCACAACTTCATCAAGGTAGCGCGCCAATTGAAGTCTCAAAGTAACTTGATTGTGTGCAAAGCAATAAACATTCGTAGCATGCCATAGTAAATTTTATTCACAACAACAAGATCAGTGTGCACGGAACAGTTTTAACAACCCTATTTTTCAACGGGGTTACATTAAATTCACAATCGTCTGTTGTATGTAGTCAAACGGTTTTCGGATCGACTTACTGATCTAAATGTTTGATCAAAAGTAAAAATTTGAGCAGATTCTGTTCACAGTTCATGTTCGCACAGGACCGGTAGGTGTATGTGAACAGTGAGAATGGGCCTTCACCGGTGGAAACGGAACACTCCTTTATGGGGTTAATTGGTTGGGACTCATCAGCCACAGAGGGAAGATGTACATTGTTCGAAAGGGAGCAATTTTCAAGCCTGATCCGAAGTTGAATACCGGTTTTACGATTTAACACAGATCGACTCCCATCTCTTGGGGGAGTCGGTAACGGATAGGCAAGTGGCGGTTATTAGGTCAACCAAATGTGTGACGCTCTCGTCCCCTTACCCGCCCACTAAAACACATGTCTGACCAAATTAGGTGAGCGGGCTTCACTGAGACACATACATGTGTACTCTGCAGTCCCGGTTAGAGACCAGCCGGGGTTTGCAATATGAAATTGTCCCTGATACGGGAATCAAAATTTGGGCGGCTCGATAAAGCACTTATGTGGTCTTTCCGCCGCAGTTATTCGAAGCTTGTAATATTGCTTTCTATTGCGTTCTATTCCAGCCATTTTTGTGCTTTGCAACCTTTGCAACCAGATGACTGGTGTTAGACTGATGTTATAGAACATTCTAAATTTTTCCTTAATCCAAATGACCTCGTCTGAAAAGCCGGGCAATGCAAGTCGTCTTGTTTTCAATCTACGGCTGAGGAGGAGCCGCATAACAGAGTCAGTCATAATTTTTTGAAAAGAGATACAGAAAACAGTCGTTTATGACAACAATATTGCTGTGAAAGGTAGATGGTGATTTTACTAATATGTAAACTTTTATTAAGCATTCAAACCAGTGTGCGTGTATGCATCAGTTAGAGTTTACCAAGAAAAAAACTCAGAGCCTTCAGTGAAGTGCGCATGTGTTTAATCGGAGAGTTTAGTTGTAGAGGAAACAATCGGAAGAGTAACGTCATTTTCGCAGCCTATCACAATGAAGTTTATTACGAATTCCGTAGAAAGCAACTATCAACCACCACTGTCCGCAATATCGCAAATGTCAAGGGGTTTCCGTCTTGGTCGCTAAACAGATGGCTAGCTGTGCCATGTCAAAGCGGTATCAAATAGTTGACCCGAATGAAAATGTTGATTGTAGATCAAAGCACAGTAATTTTTGATTAGCACATTGAACCAGGATTTAACGAACCTCATTTAGATGATGATGGTGATGATGATGACTCGGATGATGATATTGTTACATTTGTTGTCTTGTGCATTTCTTATTTATCTATCGAATAATCAGTGACGAAGTCAATTTTCCGAACATAGACTTCAGTTAATTATAGGCAACTTGGGCAAATTAAAAAGTCATTGAGACATGTTTCAGTGGCGGGATCCGAATTCATCATTTCCGAATTGCTGTACTGTAGACATTAACCGCTGGGTAGTGTTGATGTTTATAATAATAATCTAAACCATCATTCCTCAATGCTACACATATTCCCGTGTTTCTTTTACAAACCCTAATATTATCATCATAAAGCACTGCCCAAAAATATTCTATCATCTTTGTTAACATCACGTCATTCAGCTGAATGAGGCTCCGTTTATCGTCGGAGAAAATGGCTTGGTTCAGGTTTGTTTTGCATTCTCATATCACACGAAACTGAGTCATTTGTTGGTGCTCTGTGATGTTCGCTTTATCCGGCATGCCAATTTGACCCAAATATAGACCGTATTCCAATTAGAAATACAACTATACTGAGGTTATTGATACGCTTTGTTGGAAAACAAATTTTCACAGCCCCTGGAATAGTTCAACTGCAAACATGAATGTATAGTGTCCGCCAAACAATTGTGCACAGAATAAGAAAATTCCGATGTTGCTTTCGTGCATGGGTTATTACTTAAGGAGCAGAAAACAGATTTATTCAGATAACAAATCGGAAACTTAATTACGTTCTACAAAACGCCTCGTTTTGCATTCCCCCCGAGACAGAGATGAGATGATCCATTAGTCCGTAAGTGTCTAGGCGACAGTTGAACACAACGATTCCCAGGCGAAACTCAAAATGTCCCATAAACTCACTTGACCAGTAGTTGAGTAGACTGCTTTACTTTGTTTGTACGTGACATAGAATAATCATTCTGTACATGACTAACTGTGCATAGCGAATCTCAGTTACCATTTCAGCATGAATTTTTAAACTCAATAGATATAGTTAAAAAAAACCCGGGTCTTTATTAGTTCTATTTTTTTAATTTAGAGAGAACAAACAAA